TTTAATGTTATTGTCGATGAATCAGTGACATTTGATATAGCAATTAATGTTGTTTATTATTCTTTTATAAGTCAGTTTCCGAGACTACTATAATATCATTTGTATATTAAAACTTAGTCATATTGGAAAAATGAGTAAGATAGTTGATCACTATATCAAATACATATAGGCATCATCGAAAACCCCATCAAAGAGTGGCAAATGGAAAAATGCTTCATCTGATAGATATTAAGCAATGTATTATTTCAATTTAATCAATATTTAAATATAAGAGGATAAAAACTCAATTTTCGAGTTTGACTAGCTCAAACGGAGAATGATTAAGTGCGGCGGTGGCGGCAACTTCGAACTCTGCGAACTAATTCCCGCCTACATTTAGGTACCGACATCTTATTAGATAAAGACAGCGACAGCCAAGAAGGATCACCTTAGGGGACATGTAATTTAAGGACCGCGGCGTAAGAAAGATTCCCGACATCGGGTAAAGAGGTAATCGCGTGGGATTATATGGTATGAACCGAAACGCACATACAATTCCACTATTTAGTGCCATTTTTGCCAACGCCAGGCCGATACACACAGAGACAGATTTATGTGAATCTTAGGGCTACCGCATAGACGACACTAAGCCTTGTCTTGATGTGACAGCCCCATGGGGTCGCCGAATTGGACTCGCCTTGTGCGAATTAAGGAAATTAGGAGCTAAACTATTATAGCTATAGTCTTGTGAGAAAACACCGCACTGACGATACTTGATATACCGAGGCCGGACACAGTCCGCATACCAAACCGTGAGGATACACAACGGGATGACTACTCTGAACACGTTACTCTATGGTAATTAGACAAAACCGTATTGAATTTGTCAATACGATCCTTAACCTGACAGATCCAGCCTATGATGATGATGGTGGCCTAATAATGACCAAGAAATAAGATAAATTCGCGATTGGCTGCCTCGCCACATGTCGAAACGAGTATGGGCGTAAACCAGAACCACGTCAATTAAAAATCATTATGAGCTTCCGTGGGATTAAGCAAACCTGGGCATCTTTTAAGCTCTTGAGCCATACGCCGGACTGAAAGGAGGATGCAAAGATGTCCTTAGGATTGAGGCTGTTCTAGCTTTTATTTATAAACTGAAACCTCTGCATTTGCGTAAGCACACCTAGCTGCACGGGTGAAGGCTTCGCGAGCTTATAGAGCACCGATTTGAGGGAAAACTGCATAAAAACCGAGTACGGCTAGCACAGAAAGGTAAGAATGTGGGGAAAAATATGCATAGTGAAATACTTTTATAGAGCTATAATTAAAAATCATGAGAATTATCGGCATTCGGATCCACGTTATCTATTCCAACCTCCTCATAGTCTTTCTCAAAGCCGCCAGATCCTCACGAGTCTCCGAAAACTCACCCTCTTCCATGCCTTCGCCCACGTACCAGTGCACGAAAGCATGCTTCGCGTACATGAGGTCAAACTTGTGATTTAATCGAGCCCAAGCCTCGGCGATCGCCGTGGTGTTGCTCAACATGCAGACCG